GGGTGAAGACAATGGTTTAAATTTCTACCCTATACATTTCACTGCTCCTTTGAAATCTTATTTCTCAAATGTTCAGGCAATTGCTCTTTCTAATATAATATATTACCTGTGTGCAAAAATCGTTTGTATGAATCTAAAAATAAAGATATTTTTCATGTGGTATTGAATAAATATAGGAAGTTATAATCTATGACTCATCACAAAAAAATAGATATGAACACGCTTGAAAGGACAACTGTGAAAAAACCAAGCAAAGAAAAGAAAAAAAAACTGGAGGATATGACACATACGAATATAACATGTATAAATCATAAGTAAAAATAAATGAAGGAAGCCTATAACGTGGAGAACAGAACAAGATAATAAGCGACGATAAAAATGGATCGATTATTCAACAATGTGTCACAGAAATTGTTGCAATGCACTCTTTAGACAGCATACACTTATAATAAATTCGTGAACGAATCAAAGTATATTTTGAATATTTTAATTTTAGGAAAAAAATTCTATAGAAGACAATTTTATATTAATTTTAAACTTGTTTTTCTTTTAATTTCGCGTTAAGTTTTCTTCAAAAGGGAATTTTTCTACAGAAATCAGAATTTTTATCTCAAGAGTAAAATAGATTTTCTGTGTTATACTAAAATATATATGTTCATCCTTAGATGATTAAAAAACTTTCTCCTAATTTTATCATTTTTTAAAGTATTCATATACAAATTCAATTGATAACATTTTGTTGTTCATTTCGTTTTTTTTCGAGTCAACGATCGATTATTGTTCTTAAAGAAACAACTGTATGAATATTATTTATCTAAATAATTAATTGAAAACAGAGAAACTTCTTGAAATGAAATATGACACGACAATTGCATGAATCATTTCCCCGCATGATATTTTCGTGATGACCATTGTGTATATCATATTTTGGTTCGTAAATATGCTTCTGCGCGTGACAATACTACGCCTACAGTTACACGTAAAATATTTTTTTCTATTCTGTTTTTGTTACATAGATTAGTCAAACGATTCTCTCATTTTCGAATATTTATTCATAGGAAATACATTTTTGCTTATATGTTTACAGTAAATATTCGAAGAAGTTCCCATGATGTTCAATACTAAGTTTCATCTTGCCAATCCATTTCTGAAAGGTCTTTCGGTATTTGTGAATAGGTATTGAACTACACTTTTTTGTTACCATTTTGTCTAAACTTGCAACATTTGAATATGTATTCAGGCAGCGTTTCAGATAATTGAATAACCAAAAATCTGAAAGAGCAAAGTCAAGTGTGTATGGTGAATGAACCATAACTTAAGTTTTTCCAGTTGAAGGTAATTGAGATGGAGAACAATATCTTGCATATGTAATTTTGCATTATTATGATGTAAATTAATGGTATTAGTTATTGATGATGTTTTTTTTCGTATGTAAATTTTTGACTATTCTTTAAAAAAGATAGGTGTCATAAGGAAACATTTTTGGTTTTAGAGAATATGCTGAATTTTTAAAAGTTTCATTCATTTATTAATAAACCATCAAAACTTCTAGATAATTAAAAGAATCATACCAACCACAAAATGGTTCCAAGTGTTCAGAAGAGTTCTATCAAGCGCTTTTTTTTTCTATATCGAGCTTCTTTTACAAAGATGATTCCAGCGCAATTTGGTGTATTTCAATTTCATTGCATGATTTTTATTACAAACGAAATTCACTGAATTTTTTAATTAACGCTTTCTTTCCTAATGGCATCTATAGATGTCATTGTTTTTGAAGCTTCGTTCTCTTGAAATATAAGACATATAGAAACTAATTTTATACCATATTAAGACAAATCTATAACAGATTTTATATCAATAATCCGAACATAACATTCTTCAGAAATCCTTTATTTGCTACTTAGACAAATATTCTATACTATGGTGTGTGCTGGAGTCGTACCATAAGACAGTGTTCAAGCACTATTGAGCTAACAGATTAGTATTGAACTTCTCCTTTTTTGTCGAAATGGTCATCAAATATATATGCGAATGAGTTAGGAAAAATAAAAACAGTTGAAAAGACATATGAGAAAGAATCAACACTTTTTGAAAGAAATGTAAAGTGTGGCTTTGTTATGCTGGAACTAATTATTTCCAATTATATCATCAATTAGAAGAATAGATCTTCCAAACTCTATTTACACACTTCAATAAATGTTGGTTTACGAAGTGAATGCAATTTTGATATGCTTACGATAATAGTATCATTGTATCCATTTTGTTGTAACTTTTATAAGTTTTTCTGTAAAATAAAATTTACTGAACATTTAATACATTAACTATATGTGCACTTAACAGATGTAATTCAAACTTTTCGTGTGCATATTACAGACAATTGTGATCATAATGTTGGACGAATTTCAGTTCCAAATCTTAAACTTTAGCAACGGAAAAGAAAGGGTGAAAATGTCGCTTTTCATTAATGAATTTGAAAAACATTAATTTTTTTTCTCCGCTTCATCATCAGAGATGCCATTATTTTCGTTTTTTTTAATAATATTCATAAAAATCATGAATTTGTTTTGATTCTTTGACTTCATAGTCAGGTTCCTACGAAAAGTTGTTGAAATGACCAAAGAAAAAATGTTCAACTGCAAATATCGTTGAAAAACTTCTTCTAACTGAATGAATGTCACAGATAGATAATCCCAACATTCCTATATCTAATGCCCAAAGCTCGAATTCAATAGTCATAAGCAATCGGAAGTTATTCAAACAATGGTGGTTGACATTTTCAAAAAGAAATCCGACAATAATTTCAGTCATGATATGATGAAATAATGAATAAATTTTAGCGAAAAGAAGATGTCGGTCTTTTTTTCGACCTAAGACAGGTCTGAATGGTCGCAATTATAAATGAGGTTGTACTATTGGATTCCGAATTCCTGTGACACTCGTTCTCGCTTAGAAGGGATCAACTGCATTGTATCCATGAATGAAGCACTCTGGAAAAACTTTGATCTTCTCATAGGAACTGAACATTTTATGTTCAATGGACTGTTCTTTTGCGTTGGCAGAACATTTCTTTGTGGCAGAAGAAAAAAGTTCGAGATAAAACTAGATTATGCTAGAACCTTAAAAGGTTCAGCATAACATCCTTTTCTTTAGAGACTAGTATCTTCTAGCATTCATCACAATGGTTTTTGTAATAACTATATAAAGGGTGTTTCATAAGTAACGGCCCCATTTTTAAAAGTCTTGCTCCATACAAATGGGGCCGTTATTTATAAAACATCCTTTATATTCTGATAGAGCTCGAAATTCTCTACCACCCTGTATAGTTATCTTTTATGCTACTTGTGTTTGTTGTAAACAAAAGTTGAATACATCAGATATACCCTCATATGACAGGAAATCAAGTTGACTACTTTTAGAAACTTTAAAATTATTATTATTATTATTATCGAAATAAATATTTACAGAAGTAAATACATATTCTGATAGAGCTTGAAATTCTCTATCATCCTTTATATTTCTGTCTTGTTTTTCACTTACTTACTGAAGGATAGATCGAATATTACAGAAGTACCCTTTGGCAAACTTTAAAAATTGAATTTTTTCTATCTCTTTCACTTTTATTTTAGGTTCATCGCCAATATAGAAACAACTTTTTCGCCAACTAATTATATATTCTGATAGCACTTGAAATTCTCTATCGTCCTAGACTTCTGAAAATAAAAACGAAAGAGATAGTAAGAAATGCAGTCTTTTATAGTTTATCAAGGAGGGTGCCTCTGTAATATTCGAGTTATCCTTTAGTAAGTAAATGCAAGGCAAGACAGAAATGTGTAGGATGATAGAGAATTTCAAGCTCTATCAGAATATCTATTTACTTTTGTAAATATTTATTTCGATAATAATAATAATAATTTGAAAGTTTCTAAAAGTAGTCAATTTGATTTCCTGTCATATGAGGGTATATCTAATGTATTTAACTTTTGTTTAGATAAACACAAGTAAGATAAAAGATAAGTATACAGGGTGGTGGAGAATTTCGAGCTCTATCAGAATATAAAGGATGTTTTATAAATAACGGCTCCATTTGTAAGGAGCAAGACTTTTAAAAATGGGGCCGTTACTTATGAAACACCCTTTATAATATAATCCATACTAGTATGTTGATCAGCATTCACTAGATCTTTGATAGCATCGAACTGTTATTAAGTGATGTCGATTATTGGACGATCAGCTCGAGGATCACCTTTCAACGACTGTTGTCCACCTAACAATTGATGCGTTCAATGAGGAACTGTACAATATGAAACAAAACTTTATTCATAAGCAGTAGTTAATTCATCATCAGTTTCTGTTGCAGTTAAACTCAATAACAATCGAGTTTTCATACATGAGCGTATGCATTACTTTTCCATCTGAGAATAGAAGCGACTAAAAAATCTACTCTAAGAATTTACTTTGATAAACATTTGTGAGACTTCGTATTAGTGGTTTAATGTATAACAGATGCTGCTGCTGGAATAAGCCAATATTAGGAAAAAAAATAAAGAGAAAGAAATATTTTAGACACTTCTTGCTCGAACTTTTGGACTATCCTATATAATTTAATCGTTCTCTCAAACTTTGATTACCTGTTGTTTCAATATTATTTGATCAATTAAACTCATCAGTATGAATGAAATAAGAGAAGTCTACATTTTTTTGTGGTTCTGGGTATGGATTTCGATGTCGACATGGGTGAGAGTAGGCTTAGTATAAGTTAAGATGATGCAGGAAAGGTTCGATGTGAGTGTGTTAGGCTTGCAACATATAGCGGTAAGCTGATGATTTGGTTCGTTAGAGAGTTTCTCTCTGGTTGACGAAGATTTGTTTTTGATTTCTCCGTGACTTTCCAAAAGGCTTCATTGCAAACATATTTTTCTCGCAAGTTAGAAACTTTTTACTTATGTTGAAGACTATCTCTTTGAAGGAGAACGCTTCTGAGTATTTCTATGAAGTCGAAATCGATCATGATACACTTAATGAATTTCATCTACTTACTTCGATATTTATTTATACTATCGAAAAAAAATCAAATAATTCTTAGTATATTGTTGGGTGTGGCTGTAGGTCTGTATGTGTCAGATGGCTATGAGTCTGTTTTCTGGAATGTTGATGGATGCAGCAAACAGATCTTTAATCACTACCCTAAATGTATGATGCATATCAACGGTACTATATCTGGTGAGTTGTACCTCCATGTTTGATTTCGAACTAATTGTAGTCTTCGAAGGCTTTTTTCGAAAAATTCGACTCGTTTGGCCAATATTTTTCCCTACATCCCTTTCATATCACTTAATATCGAGACTCTATCAAAAAATTGGAAGAGTAGTCAAATGAACAAGCTCTCGCGTTAATACATATGTCCGCACGTACTTCCCTTCCGACTCCTCGACGATGTTGAAACTTACTCCCGAGCTTTTGTCTTCTCAACTACAATCACACAAACTTTAGACTCTTTGTACTAATGATCCTATGAACAGTAATGTTTAGTCATTCTTTTTTGCGCCAGTAGAGCGTTCCATGACCCACAAAAGTAAAGACATTTTGATTTCCCCAAAAAGTAGTTTATTTGTATTCTGTGAACAAATACAAGTTTTCTTCTATTATTCAAGGATCAAAAGATACTCTTTACACATGTTTTTCGTCAGAAAAAAGTGTGAATGTGTCGGTGAGACACATACGCGCACACACGGCACCACACCCACAATCAAGTCTTTAGGCAGTCGATATGGAGCGACAATGTGGATGTGAATGTGTTTCTCCTCTTAAACCACACACAAGCGCTCGTTTTCTTATTTTATAGGCTTCAAGGGTAAAAAGAAACAAAAGTAGCAATGATATTTTTATAATAGAAGAAATCAAAGTATTAAATTCAGTTGAAAAACGGTACAAATGAAATGTAGAAGAAAATAAAGGAAAGCTTGAGATTAATCGAGGATGAATCCATAACTGTTATCATCTAAAACAAACAAAAGGAGATTGGTTTTCATTGTTCTTTCTACTCACTGAAGTCAATCTGTTCTGAGATTTTCTCAACTTTTGAAAGTTGCTGATCTTCTTTGTGACTGAGAATACCTAGAAGATGCATGAATAACAAGTGAAAAAGAAAACTATGTCGAATAATTACAAACCTCCGATACCACCAAAGCCTTGTACAAACTGAGAGCCTTCTTGGCTCTTGTTCGTTACAATTTCGAGTTTGATGCCTCAAAAAAAAAACCATTGTGATGAAAAGAAAGACATATCAATGGGTAATTTTCTCTTACCAATTTTCTTGTAATTATTGACAAACCAGTCTACTAATCGTATTTGTTCGACTTGTTCCAATTCAATGCCTGTTTCTTGATCTTGAAAAGAAGACTTTTCTTTTTCTTGATTGGACTGTAAATACAGAATTTTCATTTCTTTTGTTTGATTATTACGTAAAATATAACGCGTCACATCGAAATTTTCCCAGATGATCAATGTTTTGACATTACCCATTTCCAGTTCTTTCAGTGTATCTTCTAGACCGAAACAATATTGGTCAGAATCTTCAAGTACTTCATCAAAATATTGAGCTACGAAAGAAATTTTTTTTCAGATTGAGATTCCACCTGATGCAGAATAAAACTCACAAATGATTTTTTTCTGTTGTATATATTTGATGTTTCCAAGTGTTTCACTAGCTAATTCAATTGCTTGATTGAAACCAATCTCACCTCCATAGAAGATGATGACTTGCTGGAGAATTTTCGCTTGAATACGCTTGAAACATACATCTCAGTGTTAGTGATAATTATAAAAGGAAAACTACAACTAACGGGATCAAACACATCGGCTTGATGCAGTGCACTACTGAATTCGGCTACACTTGCAAGTATGATACCATCAACATTGACTTTATCATCCGTAATAAAACATTGTAGAGCCGTTTGGGATACTTTTCGTACGTAATTTTGTCGTTTTTCTTTTCGAATTCGAGCAAATCGAATTGCTCTTGAACCACCACATCCACGTTTTTTTGGTAAATCAACTGAAAACTTCATAGTTGTATTTCGAAAATTACCGTGTAATATACCAAATAATACCTCATTCGTATCCATAACAATGAAACCAAATCGAGAATCATCAGTATATAATCCTTCTTGTACACCCTAGAAAATTGATCGTGTTTGAACAAGATCTCAAATCACTGATTATAAGACTTGCTGCCTCATTGGAATGGATCTCTGCATTATTGCTGACTATGAGCGCCAAAATATTCATTTGTGATTTCACAACAGTACATCATCACTCGTTGAATGCCTTCTGATTTCATATTCAGACTTTTACAAAGCTCACAAAATATAAAAAGTTTTAAGCCAATATGCTTTATAAGCATTAGGACACTACAACCAAGTTAGGACATTCGGATAGAGTCTATGTCGAAAACTCTAACATGAAGAAGTACGTGAAGTCTATGTCTGTCTCTCGAAATGCTGTGTTCATTGTGAAAAACTGAGACGTTTCAAATTCTATCCAACGCACTACTTTTTCCGTGGAAAATTCAATTATTTAGCCAACAATGTTAATGAGAGATATACTATTAGGAGCTGATTTCGAAACCGAGGCGTACTGCACCCGACCTGTCCTAACAAATATTCATAGAAATTTTTTCTGTTTTACATGAATCAATATTTGCTAAAATTTTCACAAAAATTTCTAGAGTTCATTATAATGCAATAGCTAAAATATGTTTCAGAATCAAGGCTTGCTGGATAAAATAAATAAATTTCACCTACTAGACTAGTAGTCCTCAAAACGGACTTCATCATATTACAGAAACATGATCGAACTAATGGTCTAAAATTTTGAAAAGAAAAAAGGTGATCGCCTCAAAATAGTAAAATTCACAACCTATGAAAACTCGAAGATCATAAAAGTTGAAACAAGAAAATATTTATATCGCACCTGGTATTCTGCCATTAATGGGAAATTTGAGCAAGATGAAGCTTGAAAAGTGAACGATGGCTCGAAAATACTTCAAATCTGTCTTTCAAACTTGATTGAAATTGTTACGCATCCAGTTTATGAAATGTGCATGCACAACAACAAACAAAATGCAATCCTTATTCAGAAAGAAACTGAATGTCTTATATAAACAGTATTGCTCAATTCTCCGTCGTCCAATTATTGCATAATTCTAGTAAGTAATATTGTTAGTAAGAGATCTGAATGATTTCAAAAATATATCTAGAATCAACAGCTTATCGATTGTTCTGAATACATCTTGGAACTTTATTACTTGGATTTAAAGGCTCGATAGCGACTGCGCTGATCCATAGGGGTCGCTTTTGTATGATCGAATTCCAATGTAGACATATTTTCATTTAATTTTTTGAAGAAACCACGTGAGTGGGTGTTTGGTGGTGTGAATGAGAGTAAGGTTGAGTATTTGAGTGGGAAGCATAGGTGGTGGATGCGGATGAGATCTATTTATTGATCGACTTTGACAGCCAGATTCATATGCATTCAGTCAGTTCAGTTCGAATTTGGATTGTCATAGAAAAACGAAGAGTGCAAAGGTAAGCCTCTTGCCACGGTTCTTCAGACGAATTTCAATAATGCTAGTAATGCTGCTACAATTTGCAAAATATCACTGTTTCATTTTCATATAAAATGTCAGATATTGACAGGCGAATGCTATTGAACTTATGACATACGGAAGATTTACATATTGTAGAACTCATTTCTCTCAATCTGGGATCTCAAGTGACGAACAGAGACTAAAAGATAGTTTCGTCCAAAGAATTAGTATATTGGCTTCGTCTGCAGCGAAATTGTCAGTCGATAGTTGATCTTCTCGTTACTGTGTTTGAGCTGAGCCGATCTCTATATCAGTGTTTGTCTGTTTGCAAATAGAAATAGAAAAATAATCCTTTTATTCAAAAACTTCTTGATCACATGTATTTTCTTTTCAATTGCTCACTGATTCATACCTGTTCCCTTTCTTCATGTGTAGCATTAAAAACAAAACAACGAAGAAACAAAACTGATAATTGATCCATCAATATTCGTGGTCTTGCATCCATTATTATACGGATATTTTCTTTTCTTGCCATTTGTAACGCCATGTTTCATATTACAATCGTTGTCGCCCAGAAAGACATACGTCGATCAATCCACACTACTATTCTCATTTTATAATATTTGTCGAAGATGAAGAAAAACTATTAATAGGTATAAAGGGAAAATTTGGCAATTTCGAATCGATTTCAAAATGAGACTTTATATATATTTCTCATTTTGTTTGATCTTTCTAAGAATAAGTTTACTTCAGTTTAACTTATGGTATTAATTGTAAGCGAAGAAAATAAGTTTCAAAATACCTTGAAACTTGTGAGTGTTTACTGAATCGTTTAATTTTCACTTGAGTTTGAAAAAGTTGGCAAGTTGGAATGAGTGAGAATGAGTGTTGGTGAAGAGAAGATCCTCATCGAGATTCATCCATCCAAAATGAAATTAATTGACTTGTCCAATATATACACTCTAATACGTAACAGTCGATGTGGATGATCAGAATATTTTGAATGTGCAGTAACGGGTCTTCTCTTCACCCGTTCAAACTTAACTATCATCATTAGAAGATGATGAATTTTCTTTATCGTGGCTTATATAGAAAGATTCAGCATTTATTATCGGTTAGGTACTTAGTTCAATTGTGTCTGAAGTAAACAAAGACTGAAATTGCTACTACTGACTATTTTTAACCAGTTTTCATCAAATATTTAAATTCTTGAAATTCGTCTGATACATAGGGTCATCTATTCCCTTTTTTTCTAAACTCATCATCTATTGCGAACACATGCTGGGTTTTGACTGGTTGGATAACAAACGAACGACAAAGTTTTGATGCTAATCGTAACTGACGCAAGCAAGTAACTGCACATAATCGAAGTGCGTACGAATGAATCCAGTTCGAGAAATCATCAAGAAAAATGTAAACAAAAATCAAATTTTACAAGCGAGTACTTTTTTCATGTTACATCTTTTGTCAAAATACTGTTCGAAGAGTCTATATCTATGATCACTTCGAATTTATCAATCAGAAACAAATTTGTTAGACTCATTTCAAGAGTCCTTATTTCCATTTAGTTGCTAAATCAGCAGATTTTTACATTCTAAATATTTGAAGCCTAATAGTTTAAAGAAAACGATCCTTTGTACACTTAACTCTTTCAGAGCGACAACACATCACGTTGTCTTTCTTATCACCATTATTGCGATAAGTAGGTAAAGCAGATGTTAACTGTCTATTTCTTATTTTTGCTCTTCTAGAAGCATCATGTTATGCGAAATTAGCCATTGGTTTGGTAATAATTTCTTATTGACATGGTTTACACTCAGTGTGATTGCTTTTGGTGTTTTAATGCTTCTATCAAGTGCCATTTTCTATTATTCCTATGTAAGAGTTACGTATGAAAAATGGCTACAGAAATCAAATCCAAAATATCCATCTCCAAATAGTGTTCGTATGGAAATTATTCTGATGGTGAAAGGTATTCTAGCAGGTACATTTTGTCCAGCGTTAACGTTATATTTGATGAGCAAAAAGAAACTCAAAGGTTACTGTGGTGTTGACGAATATGGCTGGAGATATTTGGTGGTTAGTTTTTTTATTGCTTGGCTATCAACAGACTTTTTTGAGTTCTTGTATCATCGAATGGGACACACCATTGATATGCTGTGGAATATACACAAGTCTCATCACCAATTCCTTAATCCAACACCTTTTGCTGTCATAGCAGAAGACTATATTGATCAACTTGTTGGAGCATCACCATTGGTCTTCATACCAGCATTGATTCCAATTAATATGGATCTACTTTTCTTTCAGGTAAGTCATATAAGAGAGACAAATAGGAAACGGTGTTTCTAAGAAAGAAACGAAAGTAAATATAGTATTCCAAAGCGATTTCTTCAAAGCTAATTTTTCCTAATTTTCTTTGACAAAGTGCTCCAGTAAATTGAATAAAAAACAACAGTGATTTAATCTGTAAAAAAAGAACCGAGATTATTATGATAACATTTTCGAAAACTATAAACTATTACATACTAAAGATCAATTATCTCACCTTTCAATCAGATGTGAATGAAATAATTCGACGACATAATATTAGTAGATTTTTCTACTTTAGTTTGCTATCTTTTTTTACGGATACGGCGTTTATCTTCATTGGGGTCACGAATTCTCTTATCCAGATGCTCATCATTCTGTGCTTAATACTTCCTTCCAGCACTACTTACATCATGCTGTCTCCACTAGAAATAAACCTTACCACACTGGTTTCTTTTTCAAAATATGGGATCAACTCTTCGGCAGTATCTATCCCAATGAGAAATGCTTTTGCGTCAAATGTCAATATGCACAAGGTTATCGTACACGTGAACATTATGACAAAGTCGAGAAGCCAGACTATCGAATTTTATTACAATGGAGCTTTTGGGTGAACTCGAAATCAGCCTAATATGGCATCAGCAATAGACTTTTATGCTGCACTATTATTACTCATAGAATGATAGAAGTATTTTTGTATTTTCTTTCTTGTTTCTTCTTCGATATTTCGATTTTGAACTCTTCAATATTTTTCATTCAAATGACTATTTCGATCGAGTCATATAACTTAAGATAATATGGATTGAAAGAAATTAATATTGCCACGTCATTTCATCGAGAAACTATGTAGAACGTAAAAGAATGAGACACTACTTCTTCTGGTATCCTCTCATTTGCGAACATACAATCGAAAATTCAAAGTTTATTAAATTAAATTATACTTCTTTGATAATTAATTTGAATTTTTCAGATCAAAAGCGATTGAAAGTGTCAAATTTTCGATTTTTAATTCGTTGAAACTCCTTTCTTGAAAAGAACTCCGAAAATTAAAATCGTTTGCTTTTATTATTTAATATTGTTTTACTGAAACGAATTTTAACAGCCATTTTCTTTAGAGAATTAAAATTTGTAGAGTTCGCTCTTGTTTTCTCTGCAATTTCTATATTTTCGTTTAGGAAGATACAGAGTTCGCTTGATATATGCTTGCAGAGTTTCGATGTATTCAGCTCTTATTAGTAGAATGTGCTAAAATACGTAGTGCTCTTCTTCTTTTTCTAAATAAAGTCTCATATTTAGGGTTCATTAGACCGAATTACCAATATGAACGTCATAAGCCTGTTTTTGTATTGGAATTCTATGTAGTTTCCATACTAGCATAAGATAAACAGTTCATTGAAAAGAAACTAATTGGAACCCAAAGATATAATTATTCAACAACGAAAACTGTGGAAAAAATGTAAACGGGACAAGACTTAGGTGTTGGTATTCGAGTTCTCTTCAAACAAGCGTCCATCGAGGTCACACTTTGAATGGATATTGAATCATGTTTGTGGAACACGAGAGAAACAATTCAAAATCTCCCTTCGATCCTCATTTTAACGTTGAATGATCGTGCAACGAGAAGAAAATTTATGAGGATTGTGAATTGCGTAGAATCACTTTGAATATTAGATATTACTTTAGTTTCACTTCTCCAAGTTGACAGACGAAAGTAGATTAATCATTTTCACAGCTACCATCGGTTGCTTTTATCTACTCAAGAAATGTTCACTGAGACTGATGATTGTAAAACTTAGTCCATTCCTTCATCTCTTTTCATTTATCTATTTTAAGAGTCGTTCTCAACCTATTCTTCGCTAGCATTATAAAAATTATGAAGGCAGCTAGTGTCGTTGTTGATAACGTACCCATAAAAGTTCAACAAATGATCTATATCAGTTCATCTTTTGGCTTTCAAATCTTACTGTTTTACTCAATTTTCCTATAGAATCAACCATCTCTTTTTCACTTTCCTATCACGGTATCGTCTTCTCAGGGTTCTATCCAGTCAAAAAAAGGCAAAAACTTACTAGAATCGACTTCTCTTGTATGTTGCACACAGACAATGATTAGTTACGGTTTTGCTTTGTGTGCATTGCTATCTTATAATAGATGTATTATGCTTATTAATATTGCCTAAAAATGTCTCTCGTTTCAATACTACATGCAACTATTACGAAAACGCTAGCATATATCAACCGAACTCTGCATCTTCCTAAACCAAAATATAGAAATTGCAGAGAAAACAAGAGCGAACTCTACATCTTCCTAAACTAAATATAAAANAGGGATGATCTTCTCAATAATGACAAGTTTTTCGATAACTCAGCCATTTCTTGATGGATTCTGCTCATCTTCGAACTCGACCGAGACATTGTTAAGACTGAACTGTGTAGAAAATTTCATCGCGATTGGACTCTCCTTTCAAAAGTTATCGTGTTAACGGCCGGACGGCCGGACACACTGACCGATTCTAGAGTGTACTCACTTTTTGAGTACACAAAAATGGGTATCAGTCGTTTCGACTGAAACTTTTATGATATTCTTAAGAATATGAGACCTATTTATCGAAGAAATTTGAGGTAAAGAATATTATCTGTTCAATTTTCTTGCCAATACACCATTCTATGGTAAGTGTTAAGCAAATTGTTATCATTATTACACAGAATATCAGCAAAGCTGGATCTTTTTGAGCTCATTCTAGTCTATAATGCGCTTGTTTATGCTTCAATTATCAGCTTCAAAATGATGAATCACTTCGAGCAGTTTTCTCATTAATAATAAAATTTTCTTCTTGAAACTTATGAAATTTCTATGATATTCTTTACTAGAATCTTGAGATTCTTAACAACTACACAGAAAGTAAGAAAAGTAATACTATTAAACAAGGTTTGATGGCGTTGACATAATTTCATTGACAAGTCTACCGTTAGAACACGGAACTTATTCATTAATTCTAATTGAATTAATGCTAATCGCTCTGATAAAAATCAAAATGACCTATTTGAAGTACATCAGAAAAGTTTTATTCGACTTCAAAAATCTAAAAATTTAGAGAATTGAATATGTACTTCGATGATGAAAAAAAACTCAATTGTCTCATGTAATTCATTAGACAATTGTCATTACTGAAGAACAGATAAATACAAAAATATTATTTTGATCGACTTTAATATATATAAATGAAAAAACCTCTTACATCTGCTGCTGTTGCTCCAGTCTTTATTTTATCTTCCTTTGATACGCGCGAAGAGTCATGTTTTGATGTTTCTGTATCATCAGATTCATCGAAATCTTCCACATAATTTTCATCTAAATAAAACTTACTTATTTGAATTTATTTTTATAAAAACATACTCGAATTTGACGTATGTCTAACAGGTATTTTGACAGGTGTTTGTCTCGTTTTAGTTTCACTTGAAGCTGGTATAGAAATTGTTATTGGTTTTTTCTTTCCATCATCTCTTTCATTTAAATCTTTTGGTGAATCAGCATAATGTTTTAATCGAGTTTGTTTTTCGAATCGACATCTTAAATTAATTAATGTACATTAATTATTTCTTTTCTTTTTTCTTTATAATATATACTTAATGCAAGGTTTTGATCCTTCAACTGATACAATAGCGAAATGACCATGTTCTCCACCTAATCTTACACCATGACGATGTTTATATTCACAACATGTTGATATTCGACTATCGATTAATCCTTTAACATATAAGGATAAACCAAATGGATAATCTGAATGACGACGTGAATTAAATGTAAATTCATCTATTTAATAAATAAGAAATATTCAAGAACAGAAGAAAAAAAACAAATTTAACTGAACCTCCAGCTTTGAGATTATCTTTATAAACAATTAAATTTTCTCCTCCACAATGTTGTTGCATAACAATAATTTCATCAACGGGTTCGAATAGTGTACGATCATACTCAAGTTTTGTATGTGGACCATAATAAACCATTGTTATTCGACATGGAGGGGTTGATAATGAAGAATCTGGTGGTTTTGTCAATGCACGAGAACGGTGCTGTTTTTTTTTAGAAAAAATAAATAAATTAAAAAAAAAATTATATTTTCAATAGATAAATGCTTTACTAATGGTAATGATCTTGGAGCAGATGATGTTTTTGGTCGATTAAGATATTGATGACGACGATGATTAGGACTTTTTGATGAATATTTTTTACGACGATCACCACTAACATGAGCTGATTGAACACGAGAAACTCGGGATACTTCACCAAATTCTTCATTTGTCTATTTTATTTAAAAATAATATTAAATAATAATAAGATTACATTTTAAAATTTACTGTTTCAAGTTCCCTATGATGACTGGCACTTTTAGGTCGATTTTGTGACCAAGATGAATGCATTGAAAGTAAACCCATATCAGGAGAATTTGACATATTTCCAGATGGATATCCACCTCGTCGTCTTGATTCCTATATAAATATCTTTTCATCTATGTTTATTAAAAACAATATAAAATATTTTACTTTAACACTATGCACCAGAGCTGATTTTGATACCATATCTAATTGACGCTTCAATTCAGCTTGTCGTGCTCGTTCCATATCAATCGCTCTAATATTTTATATAATAATAATAATAACACAAGGCTTTGGAAATATTTTTTCCTACCGATGAACAATATTTTCAGCAAGCATTTGTCGAACATGTTTTTTATGATCACGTCGAGCTAATTTTACTCGATATTCACTATCAGGTACAATTTCACCTCGACGACTAATCTAAATTATTTCATTATTGTTATAGACAATTTTAAAGAAAGTCGTTTCTTTATTTTTTACTAGTCCAGCATGTCTTAAATGAGATCGAATACGTTCATTACTAAAATAACATTGTAAATGAGGATCAGCCAAAGAATTATATGTAGCCAAGGTACTAAATTAAACAATTCTATAGAATCGATAACAAAAGATAAAGACTAGTACCTTGAATCCAGATGGGTCATTGTTGAAAAAGTGTTATGTCAAGAGGTTGTTAATCGAACACTACAAACACACTTCTTTTTTAATAAAGAGAGACTCTAACAATGATTTAAGTAAACATATACAAAACGCCATTGACTTTTTTCTACTCCCGTAGTTGTTGAGCAACGAATTGTCAAAATGTTGTCATGATTAGAGTTCAAGTGAAATTCATATTTCAATTTCTTTCAATTCTAATTACTTTTATCACACTGAAAATTTATATATATTTCCTAAGAGTTCATCATATAAAAACTTGAATGTGGCTCCATCTTTCACTGAAACCATAAAAATAAAAGTACTACAAGCGCCTTTCTTGATTCTACTATGCAACAAAATAAAATAAAATTAGCAATTACTGATTTAAAGAAACATATTAAATAAATTTTTCTAATAAAAGAATTATATGTTGTTATGCTTGAAACAAAACTTTTATTTTGAGACTTGATAAAAATCGTTTCGCGATTATCGTATTCAAATAAGACTGATTGCCCTCGTCTTTTATTGCCTATTCTATCTATATCATTTTCTCTGTTTTAAATATTTAAATGCCTGGAACAACATAGACGACGAAGAATAAGATTATCTAGTAATTTTACGTAATGTGTGGTCAGTCAGTTTAGTCGAATCATTATTGCATTCTTCGTTCGTATCTTTATCTCTCACAATATAATCTTTCTCTCTCTCTCTCTCTTTCTCTCTCTCTTTGTCTTTCTTTCTTTGTTTAACTTTCTCTATAAAACTAGTTACATGTTCAAATAAATCATTATAAGAAAAGCTGACTATATCATCCAATAATCGTTTCTAGACGAGTACAAAAATGGCTTCAACAACATCGATTATTTCGTTTGTTATTTTATTATTAGCTACATATAGTTATTCAGTGCCTATTGAACAACGATATGATACTTCAACAGCTGATTATGAATTTAGTACTGGTACAACTGTAGTTGATCGTGAAGATATTATTAATATAAAAGTCAGGATTTTCATAATTTTTCAACAAATTTTTTCTCGAAAATAATTTTTTTTAGTTAATATTCGATGAAGAATCAACTTATGTACCAAACATTGATAATAAGCAAACATTTGATAAACCTGATGACGATGAATTTACAACTCCAGACCAATTTGAATATCCTGATGATGTATCACTTCCATCGAGTACAGCCGATGATTTATTATTTACATCATCACCAATAACATTTACTTCTGAAATGACATCATCAAACGACACAAATGATGAACATATATCAAATGATGATTCATCTATAACTACAGAATCAAATACTCGACTTGACCAAGAAGTAGTTAAATCCAATGATGTTCAAAACGAAGTCGAATCATCAACAATGTTAAAAAATGATTTTTTTCAAAATGTTAATGTAATGGAAATAACAATTGTTGCAGTAAATTTCATTTTTTTCTTATTGCATTGTTTTTAAATTAAAACGTTTTACTTCTTTTTCAGTCATCATTTGTTGAACCTGAAGCACAAACATCAACAGCAGCATCATCTGTTGAAACTGAATCAGATGTACCAGAAGCATCAACATTTGACGAATCAGAATCACACACATCAGCAACACTATCAACAGTTCAACCTGAATTACACACATCAGAAACACAATCATCTGAAGCTGAATCAGACAAGCCAGAACCATCATCATCTGCTGAAGTTGAATCAGATGTACCAGAAGCATCATCATTTGAAGAATCTGAATCACACACATCAGCAGCATCATCAACTGTTGAAACTGAATCACACACATCAGAAACACGATCATCTGCTGAAGCTGAATCAGACAAATCGGAAACACCATCATCTGCTGAAGTTGAAACAGACAAGGCAGAATCACCATCATCTGCTGAATCTGAATCAGATACGCCAGAAGCATCATCATCTGAGGAATCTGAATCGCACACATCAGCATCATCATCATTTGTTGAAACTGAATCAAAGATGCCGGAGGTATCATCTACTGCACTTGAATCGGACACATCAGAAGCATCATCATCTGTTCAACCTGAATCCCAAACAACAGAAGCATCATCATCAGTTGATTCGTCAAGTAAATCTAGTGTACTCCTAGGTGATCATCAATCAGAAGACAAAACAACAAAGTTTGATTACGACAAAAGTGATCAATCAAGTGAAGAATCAGAAACAGAGCAATTAACAACACCTGGTTCAAATATTTCAGGTAAAATTATAGAAACTGAAATCTTAACTAATACTCAAAGTAGAGCATATTCAGTAAATGAACGTCTTCAAGAGCAACCGAAAGAATTTAGGCAAAGTTTGATTTTTCTTTTGCTGTATTTTTATTTTGTATATTTCTTATTGTAAGCACAATGACTATTATAAGTTTTTTCCGTGATAGAATATTTAAGAAAAACGAGGAAAATATAAACTTTTTTTCTTCATTTTATTAGATGTTCAAATATTTTTTATTTTTTATTTTTAGGTCAAGTCGAATGATTTGCTGAAGAAGTGTCGGATAACTTAAATGGAAGCTAATTTTGATGTATATTAGTAACATTTTGTAAAACAAACTTTTCATCTTTTTTCTTTTCAAAATGTTTGTCTGAGCTTTTCTTTAATTGAATTCAAATAATACTCATCTTGTATTTATCTAGTTTTTTCAATGAAACTTAATTTCTTTATCATAAATAAAAAATATCTCTTTATCTATGCAATATTTTTATCTTGTCTTTATTTTTAACAAGCAAATTCAATTTTATAAAAAGAAAAACATGTAAAAAGCTTTATAAAACAGACAAATATCAGGTAATTTGACATGTTTTAACAAGATCAGATTTAAAGATATACATTTCAAAGTCAACAATAATACTATAATAGAATGAAAGGCAAATATTCAATTAAACGATGGAGTATTAGATGACATTATGTCATTACTGACGATCATGAATCATATTCAATTGTTAATTCAAACTCCTCAATCTTGTTGTGACCGCGATTTTAAGCGGATAGCAGCAGTCCTGACTGAAAGTATTGCTTTAAATACTTTTTGTTGTTCATAGCACAGATAACTGACTGATGATAAATTACACCATAAAGTTATGAATAATGTCAAGAATTCGGAATTTCATGGTTATACGTATTTCTCTACTGAGTCAATTATTAGTAAACTAAGAGATTCAAAAAACAGTAGAAATTAATAAGAACGATTAAAAAATTCCCTCATTGAAAAATAAATTCTCGTTTAGGTATATTCAAATCACATGAAATTTTCAGATATGATGAAGCTATAGTCAGTCGAGAGGCTATGCTAAAATTTCAGGTTGATTTTATGACGTTTTCGGAAGATATTCATCAAAGCATGATCACAAATAGTTCATTTGACATTCTAGAATTCTTTTCAGACCTTTACTAGAAACAATAATTGTTTTTTTTTGTAGAAGACACTACAGTGGAAGGCATGACGAAGCCTATTGGTTTATATTTTTAGTTTTATTCGGACGAACTGATCAAAGAGCTCAATGTGCAAAAAACAACTGGTAAAAAATTACGATCTTTTTACAATAGTACTACTCTTAAAATCGATTTCTCTCAGATTCTGCAGCTGAATAGGCTCTTTCGAACAAAAAAAAAACAGGCTAATGAGCTAAAAAAAAGCCTTTTCTAGAATACTAGATTGCAGAATCGAAAAAGTTAGAAGTGAGGTCATGCATAACGAACTTGTTTTCAACATTTTAAATGAAATACTTGATTGCACTTGAGAAGCCATCAATTTATAATGGTATACGAGGGGAAAACGTTCATTAATTGCCATATAAAAAACCGGATTGCCTAGTAAAAGTGTTAATGAAGAAGCCAATGCCTTAGCTAATACATAATTCTCAATATCAGTTATCTTTCTACACAACGATATTTCACTAGTAGAAGATGGTACAAAAAAATATATAAAAACTTAATGCTTTAGCTGACAAATAATGCTGATTATGAAAAGTCAGACGTTGATCTATGATAGCCTGTGCTTATCTCAACATTCAAATTTTTGACTATGGCTAATTTTTTCAAGTAGGAAAGAGAAGAAAAAGTTTAAGGAGACCTCTCCTCCCTCCCATTTCACGACGGTAAACTTTTAGATAATTCATCTTGGATCTTTTCTGATCTCTATGCGATTCGAAGTATCTCCTATCTATTAGACATATGTTCAAGAAAGAATAAATAACTAAAAAAAACGTTGAAAAACTGAAAAATATGAACCATTTTCGCTTAAACACAGAAAGAATTACACTTTATTTAGCTTTTTTTTGAAAAAACTAGAGAACTACCACCGTTTCTTGTACACAGTGCATCAAATCGAGTTGAAACTTTCTTCTACATATAATAAGAAATGTTTACTTCTTTTGTTTCAACATATGATGTATCACTGTTTTTTGTCAGGACTTACAAAATAGCTTTAGTTAAAAAGAAAAAGAAAAACATGCATTTTTGAAGATGCACTCATTTTTTAAGCAGATACTCGACCTAAAAAGTGTCTAGTACCTGTTGAAAAATCTTAACTCTATCAAACGTATTGCAAGTGAGAAATCATGGCGATTGTTTAGTTCTTGCTAGAGTACTGCAACCCGACCCGACCCGACCCGAACCCGCACCCGACCCGCGGGTGCGGACGGTTTCGGGTTCGACCTTGTCGGGTCGGGTTCGGGTTTAACAGTCGTCGGGTCGGGTCGGGTGCGGGTTTAATTTTAATAAAAGTCGGGTTTTTGTCGGGTTACATTTTTTCGTAATATATGCTTCTGTCTTATGTTTTTGTTAGTGTTAAACACAAAGAACAATGAAATAATTCTATTGGTCTATTACGCTATCAATAGAGCTGTTGTTTCTTGTGGTTAATTTGAAATAAGCGTTCTNGGAACTTTGGGGGGTCGGGTCGGGTACGGGTTGAGTCCTGTCGGGTCGGGTCGGGTACGGGTTTCACTAGAAGCCTTCGGGTCGGGTGCGGGTTCTAAAAGTCAAACCCGCGCAGTACTCTAGTTCTTGCAACTCTCATATATCTCTTAGAACAAAGCATTTAGGAACTTTTAGGTCTTTGGCAACTTTTACTCTATTTATCAAGATCTTTCTACCATTATATTTAACATAAATATTTTTTTCCTATTTCTTAGATCGCTTCGATCTGTTGTTGTTCATCAATGTTACATAATGTCTGTATGGTACAGTATATCACAGAACAGTCATTACTTATTTTAGTAGAACAATATTCTAGATTCTATGTCAAAATAAACTCATATATCAACTAACGAACACTTGAAAACTAAAGTGAATAAGAGACGCTTCAATAAATTGTGTCATTGTAATTTAACATTTTTTTTATTGTCATCTTCAGCAAGCTAATGTTATTATGTCCGTCAAGATTTCGATTTCGAAGTAACTCAATGAACTAAGTAATCTCATTCTATGACTTTTGCCATTTTTAAAAATAGTAAATGTGATGGTGAGAAAACAAAAATAATATCATTTCAATTTTTTTAAGTATCATGCTAAGAAAAATCGTATTTCTATTCTCTGAAAACTTAAGTGATCGATATATCCAATAAAATTAGAAAAAATTCATTTTCATTTTTTCTCTTTACTTTCATAAGATTTACATCATTAAGAAAATTTGTTCGAAAAAATTTTCTTTACTTTTCTTTGTTAATCTTCAAATGTAACAAAAAAAAAGCAAGTCTGACATAATCATAATGTTCATTACAGGTAAACATTTTCATTCTTTTCTATGATGATGTTGACACATGTGGATATAATTCAAATGGCATCATTATTTGATTGTATTTTATAGGTACAATAGGTATTCTAGATTGAATATGATTATTACGTAACGCAAAAGATACACCTAATGCATACGATGCTGTAAATGTAGCAAGTAATGAAAAAGCTATAGCTGCATTGAAAATAATAGCACTACCACCATTCATAAACAAATAAAAACTTATTGTTAAAACTGTTATCCATAAAAATAAAGAAGCAAGAAAAAAGAAAATTGTAACAATAATTAAACCCAATCGACGTCGATAAATAAATACATTTATAAATGAACTAATAATACCAAACATAATAAGACATTGACCAATAATAGCAAATACTATTGATATATTATGTTTTTCTCTTACACTTGTACAACTATCTTTATAACATGTTTGAAATAAACCTGTTCTATTATGATAACTATCAATTTGCCATCCGGATGTTGTTGTTGCCAAAATAGACATTATACATGAAATCATACTAAATATAGCACTGACAAGAATAATCAACTCTTCTTGCGAGTCGTCGTTTGTATTCATTATTTATTGATAGATGATAATATTAATATATCTTACTGATTGTATTAATAATGAATGTTACATTTGAATAACTAAGAAATAATGATCAAATGATAGAAAATAATCTAGTATAATAAAATAATTTTGGTTTTTTGTTTCATTATTCAATTTTTTTTTATTCAAAAACTACAAAGTTTCCTCCTCTATGTAAAATATTCTTAATAAAAAATCAAAATATTTAATTAGATTTGTTGTTTTGTTTTTGTCTTTACGAAAAATTTTCTTGTAAAATAACTAATTGTATTGTGAAGTTGAAAACAAAAAAATAGCGCTAATTTCATTCATTATATAAAAACATTCTGTTAAACTATCACATATCAGTTAATTGTGTTTCATCTTGTTGTTCAAAATGATTGTCAATCAATTGAGTATGTTAATATGATTGAACATAAACATACGTATATAAATAAATGATTATGTTTAGTTTCTCTTCTGTTCATTATCTCAATAATATTTTCTGGACTTGGAATATTAACTGGTAATAGTATGGAAAGTTCTGATGATGATAATGATGCTGTATATACACGTTTACGTCGTCAACTTAAAAAGTTTGCATACGCAGATCCATGTGAAGTTAAATGTGTTACCGAAAAACTTCAATCAAAAGTACCTATTAAAGTTTTAGCTGTAAGTTATTTTATTTTTTAATAATTTCAAATAAAACGAAATATTTCTCATATAGAAACAATGTAAAGAAACATGTCAAGATAAAATAGCAAATTTTAAACCGTCTATTTATTATCAATAATATTCAAATGTACTAATCATTGTAAACGATGTTTATTTTTTTGTTTTCTTTTTTCGAAGTATCGTATAATTCGAATAATTAATTCTTATGTTGTATCAGTTCAATCGGATATGTTGTTTTATTTTAAATAAAAATTTCTATTTTCTCTTGAAAATAGATTTCTAATAATAGCAGGAGCAAGATTTAGGAAATTTTGAAAGGAATGGCCAATGAGATCAAATTATTGCCGGTTTTTTTTTTTGATAATTTTTCTCGAATTTTCTATTATCAACTGTTCAAATTTATGCTCTAACTTATGAAAATAAATTATACAAAGATTTTCAGCTTTTTAAATCCTGAAATGCATATTCATTATAGCTAGTCCATTCAGACAATTTTTATCCATAATAATTTGAAGATATGATTTTATTAGTTTTAATCTCCAAAAAAAGTTCGCTCGTCTATAGTTGTTGTCACTAGTAACATTTCAGAAATTTGAAAATGAATTTTGATATTTGATAATAAGATATCGTTAGATAAAAAACGAATTATACATATCTTTTTTACTCAACCTTATGCTTATCAATCATCAACAGAACGAACAAAAATGAACTGTTGACACGATTGTTGGTTATTTCGATGTTAAAATCTACAAACGTTCGTCAGCTGTATTGCAGGAATAGAAGTTACATACAACAAGAGAAAAATATTTGATACAAGTAATAACACTACGTAGAGTATATATATATATAAGTTTTTTGTTCCTACTCTGGAATCGTTCATTTCAGAATACAACCGCAATATATTTAAAAATAGCGAGAAATGCACACTATTTGTCTCCGTGACTCTTTTAGAAATACAATGATATTTAGCGTACAGCATGCATACATAAATTTTGAAGGGAGATATGGTACCACGGAATAATAACAGAGTTAGTTAGAGTGTGATAGAACTATCTCCGTCAATTATGTTCTATCACTTTCTTTGATCTCCGTAGAAAATCTCGAAAATAAAAACTTCGAAATTAACAATATGATAACTTTTTCTATTCTTTCTAATGAACAATGATAAACTTAAAAAAGTCCTTTTACGTTGGTTTCTTTCTTCGTAAATCTGTTGTACAAAGTATTAATTCTCGATTGAATATTGCTCGGAAATAATATCTTTGGTTTACTTTTCTAATAGGTCGTCGAATATAGTGTAACTTATTGTTCTTAAAAAGATGTATGATTGTTAAAAGTGCTCTCAATAGGTTCAGCTGGGCCTATGAAAGTCAATTCATGAGCTGCCGAACTTTGACTCAGCTGAGTTCATGGATGCCCATGAACTGCCTATCTAGTTAATTATTTTTCTCTGAGATAGTTAGGCTTGCCAAATAAAATCTCAATTTGTTCGTGAAAGAAGAGAAAAAGATAACAACATTTTATTGAGCATGAAAATTTTTTTTTTCTGATGTAAATAGAATATGCTTAAGTTGATCGAGTTTATCGGTCTTGTGTCGACATTTTCTTACGTGTAATAATACATGAAAAATATTTTCATTTTCATAGCTTGAGAATTCTCCATACATCTATACATTAAAATTTTGCAAATGAAGAGTTAAAATCTATTATTAATAATTTTTCGTCAATTTATTGACAAATAAACTTTACATGTAAATATTTATTTTTTTGAAATTCAACATTTCTATTCGTTCATCTGTACAATAATCTATAGACAAATTCAAATATATAAAAAAAAAACAAAAAAAAAAGAATATCTGACATAAACATATTGATTTTGTTTATCTTTACAATTGATCATGCCGATTATTCATTATTATTGTCAATAAGATAATCATCTGTTGGAAGACATTGTCCTAATTTAATTGAATCTAAAATAGGAACAACAAAATAAAGTAAGAAAAAAAAACAAATAAATTTAAAATTACCAATAACCCATTGTTCATTAACTTGTGGGTAAATGATAATTTGAAGTGGTTTTGATGACTGTCCAACAACAATTTTTGCTAGATTCCGACTAACTGTAATCTAGATAAAAAAAAAAGACATAGATTTGAAATAAAAGAATAATTTTAAAACTTACATTACCACCTAATAATGTTATCAATTTAAGTAATAATGGTCGTTGTTTAACTAATGATGTTAAATAAATAAGACCACATTCATTAAATAAATGTATTGCTTTTTGTTGTTGTCGAGATTTACGATAAATACTTAATGATGGATTTGTTTGAAAAAAATGTTTCGGTTCAAATTTATTAACATTTAACCATTCACCAATACGTGATGAAGATTTTAACCATTCAAATGTCACTAAACGACTAGAAAAAAAATAATATATTAAATTAATTTTTGATCATTATAATTGTTCAAGATTCAATTAAAAGACTTAGAACGAATTTGATAGGTTATGTTACTCATCTTAGAATCTTATCTCTGATTGTTTCATTTGATAAATCTAAGCGAGAATGAAAAATATTTCTTAATATTTGAATTTCTCTCAATTTTAAAAATAATCATAAATGAAATTTTGTGTTTGACAACAATGAATACAATAGAATAAATTCTTGTAATAATGAAAATTTTAGAGAAAATAAAAGTATTTATTATTAAAAACTAACCATCCGTAAATCGATGCAAGAAGAAGATCAATTGTTAATGTCATTTGAGGATCATCATCAGGTAAAATAACATGTGTTATTGTCATATCAATTGTTTCAAATGAAAAACAATCACCCATACGACGTGTTAATCGTTTAGCTTCTTCTAATTGTCTATAAAAACAAGAAAATATAAATAAAATTCGAAAAATTTCTTTAAACATACATTGATGTAAATCCATAGAAAACAAATGAGTAATTAGCTGGTGCATTCGGTAAATCTTTAATAGATGGTAATTGATTATATAATTTTGTATCGATTAATTGTTCAGGATGTTTAGTTCGAATAGCTTGCGAAAGTGCAAGAAGTGGTGGTGGTCGTGGAATAATTCGATCATTATTTGTTGATATTTCAAGTTCACGAATTATTTCTTTAACATTTGGTAATATTAAATCTCTTTCGTCATCGTCATTATGACATATTTCAAATCGAATTCTTGATTTTGTTTTAGTATTTATTTGATTTAAAGGTGTTACTTTCGTAAACGATGTATAATCAATCGTTTTTAATGGTGTTATAAATTGATTTTCTATCGGATTTTGAAGATTTTTTTCAATTAAAATTTCATTTGGTTGATTATTATTATTATTATTATTTAATGGTAATTTTGAACGTAATCTTGGAGATGGTAGAGGAGTTGATTGAGGAAGATTACCTAATGCAGCATATTGGTGTTGACTATCAAAATCGAATGTTGTTGAAGGAGACACAACGATTTGAATTTCAGGATTTCGAACTTGACGAACAGGCTAAAAAAAATAAAAAATTATATTTATCACAAACAAAGAAAAGAAGTTGTTAAAGTAATTCTTGCGAGATTGAAATGTGAAACTTGATATTGCTGTTCTTTCTAATTTTTTTTTCTATTTTTATATCAAACACATCATTCTTCAAGGGTGGGAAGAGGTTGAGGAGTTACTTCATGCGTATTGAAACAAGACATTGCTGATTTAAATTCTTTGATCGTACAGTAGACGACAAAAGTCTCCCCCCTAGAGGATCTCAGCCACAATAGATGCTGAAGACCTGAAAATGTGTGTGCATATAGTCCGTCAAGCATGTAGATCAGAGACACAATTTCAGCTCGATTGCTTAAAGTACAAGGAGAATTATGATGAACAGAATCTATGTTTTGCATTGAGCTCTTGAACCTAACTACAGACTGCCTACCCCATATTACGTTGATTTTTACCAAACACATGACTAATTCTTCATGTTTTTGCACGGATCTAGAGTTCAGCTAGTGGTCTTTCTTTACAGAAAAAATGGGTTCATTTGCTCGAATATTGACATCTTTGGATGTTTTCGAATCCTCAGCATTATCTTCAGAATCATCGACACGATGGTCAGATCCATGTCATTTCCCATCAGTACGCAGTTTGTGCATGAAACTTTTGGGCATTAATGTCCAATAACACGAGAAAGTTTTCTAAGAATTTGAGCTTTATCCACTGCATCGCTACTGGATTATCGTGTCCAAAGGACACCAACTCATTTCCCTTCACATCAACGGTGACAGTAAAATGGCCACAGTTCTAGAAGGGATTGACGGACTTCAATGAAATTAGTTTCATTGATAGCTGAAATACAGCGCTGCATAATGAGCGGTTAGCTGGCTTACAAAACCCATTCTTTCCAGACTTATGAAGTTCAATTGCGAAATAGGTGCCATCTCTGGTCACTCATCATAATTCTCTTTGTACTTAAGGAATCGAGCTGAAATAGTGCTTCTGATCTACATTCTTGACGTAGTATATGCACACATATTTTCAGGTCTTCAGCACCTATTATGGCTGAGATCCTCTCGGGGGAAGACTTTTGTCGTCTACTGTATATCAACAATCTCTGTCGCGATCTGTGATGATCTCTAGCTATAGTCTATTACGAAAATTGGAAGGAGTTGATTTAGACTTCTATTGCTATACTTCAACACTCCTTTTAGATCATTTTCATGAAAGATTTTATTATGTTTACATTAGCAAAATGAATAATAGGCGATGATTGAGATTGAGATGGAATACTTATTGTTGTTGGTAACTCTTCGTGTTGTAAAGATATTGATGGTCTATCTAAAATATCAAGTAGAAAACAAAATAATGTTAAAATTAAAAGACTAGAATTTTTCAATTAAACTTTACTTTTTAATTCAGATTGAGGACGAGAATTTTCTTGAATTTGTCGACGAGCAACACTACATCCATATCGATGAATTAACATATGATTATTATCTTAAAAGAAATTTTTTATTTATTTCTCTTTTAAAGAAGAAATGAAAATCTACCTGATAAATTCATGCCTAAATTTTCGAGTTTAATTATTCGTTTTTGATGATCAAAATATTCATGTGGATTTCCTTGATCAAATTGACCACGAATTGGTGTATAAAGAACTTTTTTACTTTTTTTTCCTGAATCAATATTTATATTTTGTGGTTGTTCTATCTGAAAATAAAATTAAAAAAACATGAAAAATATATTACATTAAAATAATAATTGACCTGATTTTTAGGTGTAGATGGTGCAATTAGATCTTTATTTGATATTGCTAATTGATCGAAAGGAAGTTCTTCTAAAAATATTTAATAATTTTAATTTGTATTTCGAAATACAAAAGATAAATGTCAAAATCTATAAATGAACCCGACTGACAAGGAAATATATTCAATTGACCAATTATTTTCTCACTAAAACTTACTCAATTATGAGTTATCAACAAGGAAGAAAGGATATACTCCTGTAATATAGGGAATACGTGAAGTACAAGAATATCTCGTTATCTTCTTGGATTTTAGGTCTAGATTTAACTTAATTACGAAACTGTACTCTCGTACTTACTTCATTCCAGAGAGCAACGAATGATGTCGTCTTCCCCTTGATCCGAACCAACTATTTCATATAAGAAAAGTATTGCATGTAGTATCTGCAAAATCAATGATCTCTCTCAGACAGAATCATGTATGACAGAATAAGAAAACTCTCAACTGTTAATTATCGCTTCCGCATTTCTATAGATCTCGCGAGCGGGATCAAGTTATTTAAAAAACGAATTTCAGATGTGCACCGGTCACACTGACAATTTTTTTCTCATTTCAAAATGATGACTAGGTGTGGAGAAGTGACTCACTTGAGTCATGTATAATGCGTCGAGAACAAGAATTCGTTATGGTTATTAAGTGAGTCAAAAGCAATAAATCGACTACTGCACTTTGGGTAGTCAGCCGCCTTTCTGTCAACGAGACAAATAGTATTCGCGACACAAAAAAGTTTTTTTTCCACAGGACTCTAGTTAAAACTGTTTTTTTTTACTTGTAACTGTGTCAGAGCTTTATTCTTCCTTAGGTCAAAAAACTTTTTCTCCTTTAGAAGAGAAAACTTACGAGAGAAATCCCTGAACCGATCAATTAATTTTAATTTGAAACTATATTCATCATCTACACTCTAATCGGCTATGAATATTCCGAAAAAAATTCAAACCTATCGATTATTCCAGTCGACATATTGCATTTTTACGATATTTTTCAATACAATAACGTGGTCTATCTTAGAAACAACAGGAAAAATTATTTTCGAATTTCGACTCGAAATTTTGCATAGAAATAAGTCTTGACGAGAATAGTTTACTACGAAAGTTTCAGATATTGCCGTTATTTCTATCCCAAGATATAGCCATGGTCTGAGCATGTTTTTTATATCGCTCATATACGCCCGCAGATTTGATTTTCTTGTTTCAAAATATGAGCAGATCAAACGGTTTGATACTTTCACGATTAACTATTCTCGTTAAGATCTATCTCTACGGAAAGTTTAATGTCAACATTCAAAAATAGATTTTCTTTTGGTTCCTAAGGAAGATCATGGCATTGTATTGAAAAATACCGTAAAAATTCAATAATGTATAAACTCGAACTCATTTCCGAATATTCATAATCCATTAGGGTCTACATGATGTACATGTTTTCGGTTCAAAATCAATTAATTAGTTGAGGAATTTCCCTTGTTAGATAAGGCACTACACTCAGTATTTCTTTTAATTCATAGATTCATTCGATAAAAAATTTAAGTAAAAACAACCTGTTGGTTGTTGATTTTCATCATTCTTAATTTGATATTTATCAATTTTAATTAATCTTCTTTTTTTAATACAATGTTCTAACCACATTGGATCAACCAATGGTATATTATATTTTTCAGCAAATAATTTTGTTTCTAAATTTCCATTTTTAAAAATAATATGTGTTGTAGAAGAAACTTGTGGTTGTTCAACAATATTAGCACCATATTTGTTTTCTAATTCATTTCCTAAACGAAGAGATCTATCACAACCATTTTGACTTGAACGATAATCAATAAAAAATTGACATTCTAACCAAATAAAATAAAATAATATTTCAAAAAATAAAGGAACTATTTTTTTTAAAGGTAAACATACGAGAAAATAAAATTACTCGATCAACTTTATTTATGGATGTCATATCTGAAATAAACAAAAGAAAAGAATTAACAAACAAAAAAAAAATTCGAGCACGTATAAATTAAAGAAAAAGAACAAAAATTATATTTGTGAATCTTCTTCATCAGTTGTATCACTAAGTTGAAGATCATCTTCTAAAAAAAAAATAAAACAATTTCAAATAAGAAAAATAAAACAAATCATCAATCTAACCGAGTAATCCATGTGATGAACGTCTTGGTGTTGTATGTGTTTGTACCGGTGCTGGATTCAATGAATATGTCGGAACATTTTCAAATGCATCTGGTGAAGCTTTATATTCGAAAATAAAATTATTAAAAACATGAAAAAATAAAAGAAATAAATTTACATTCGTCATCACTAAGTCGATCATCAGCAGGAGATAATCGTTTGCTTGGCATCGGTTTAACAGGTGCATTAACTATTGGTTTACTAGAATTTGTCACTTTTTGTGTTATTGATTTATTTGTTGTTGTTGTTATTGTTGTTGTTGGTGGTGGTGGCGGTGGTAGTAGTGGTGCTGTTACTGCTGCTACTACTGTTGTTGATGCCACTGTTGTTGTTTTAGTAGGCTTTTTATCTGGCTGAGATTCAGCTATATTTACACGTGGAACTGCAGGTCTTATTGGTTGATTTACAGGACGATTTTCCACTCTGAAACACAAAAATGTTACTTTAATAAATAATAAACGAAAAAAAAAAATAGTTCTTTACCGAACATTTTTTACTCGAACATTTGCTGATAATTTTTCAAGTACTATTTTTCCAGTACGAGGATCAATTATCATTAAGCATTCTTTTGGCGTATATGGTTTTGTACTACCAGAAAATTTTGTTGATTGAGTTAACGAACCCTAGAAAACAAAAAAAGAATATTTTTCGATTAGTGAATTTTCATCACAACTAAGTTAAGTACAACGAATAATCAGCAAAAGAAAAGATGAGCGTAGATATCTGAATATCATAGTGTGGAAGTTAAAAAATTTTGAGCAATCAAATTGCTATAAAGTATCGCTGAATACATGCGTATGCACTCTTCACGGTTTGATAAAAGCATTTGTAACATTATATATGTGGAGAGATGAATGACAATTATGGGACTAATATTTAATGCATGACTAGTGAGCATTTTTTTCAATTGTTGATGTGTCTATCACTTTAGAGTAGCCATCGAGGTTTTACGGAGTATTCATAGAGTATATCCAGTCAGAAATTGGCATATTCATTCAATCGCTGAAATGCTTTGTACACACTAACTAATCGCTTACTAACCAAGAGAGCAGATGTATGTCTCAACTTAGCTAGCATGCTATTGAACGGGTGATCTGAGACAAATAGTCGTTAGTAACTTCTTCGGAGTCATACCACGGTTTGAATATAGTACCTTTTGGATATGTATCGAGTGATACAGTCACTCAACCATTGCAGTCGACCTCTTCATTGGACATCGGGTCTTCAAAAGTTTGTCTAGAAAAACCTTAGCTGTTCGACTGCATTGTCTGTTTTTCTGTTGAACCACACTTTATTAACTAAGCATAGGAGAAGAACAAATTATATATGTATCCAAAACAAATATCTCTCAGTTGAACTCTGTCGAATCCTAACAAATTCAATCAGATCTTATCAAATTTTCGACTCGGTTAAACTGTCGGAATTTAGCAAAAAGTGAATTGTTGAATTATTTTGGATACATCGTTCACTTCTTAAATAAGAGGCCATAGAATTTCTATATGGAAATATTTTGAGAGCGTTGTTCAAACTCACTTAATGTCAAATATATATGGAAATTCGGGAAAAATTGAAACCAGTGTCCTGATCTCCATATGTTTGACTACTCCTTCTCTCGGATGTTCTTTTATGAATGACTGCTAATCATACTTTTCATTTCGTTATTTCAATAATGAAAACAGTTACCACTTTTTTCAGAATTGATAATATTTTAGAACAAGATGTATTATTAATTTATACATTTCCATAAAAAAATATTTTTCACATTCTTGACTATTACTTGATATGGTTCCTTAGTATATACTTTTATACTGGTGAATATTCCTTGAATACACTATAATAATGTTCATCTATATTCGTGTTGAACATCCTGTTTGGCAATATAATCAAGTCTGCAGATTGTTTTATCTTTTTATCATATGAAATCAACATCAATACCTTTTCTTTCGGATAATGAAAATACAAAAAAAATGAATCATGACAAGTATTTTATCGGACATCGAAGCAAAGGAAGCAGCAGCCTTCCTACAACCAAGATGACTCTCTTGGAAATTATGGTTATTGTAACACATAGTACGCATTTGCTGTGTGAAGTTTGGAATAAATCTTTCAGAAGAGATATTATGAATCGAACTTCGATTAAAATTCCTCAGTATGCCACACAAAAATGAAGAAAATTGAAGATTTCATTGTTTTCATATTGATATGATTTTGCACATAAAGAATGTCTAGCAGATTTATAACTCGTTGACTAAATAATCAGTATAAAATATCGAATATTAATTGACATAATCTAACAGCATGAAACAAGTTATTCTAAGATAATTCTATTGATAACAGATATTATTAAAACTTGCTCATAACTTAAACTAACCATATGCTGAAAAATTATTTCTTCACGATAACTATATCGTAAAATTAATTTGACATGCATACTATTTATTAAGATCAATTTAAAATTAAAGCAGATTTTTATTACAATTTATCTTCTTTAATTCTAATTTAACTCCATTTTGAAATAAAAACAATAATTCATCTTCATTTTTCAAAATTCTAACAAATCCTTTATATCAAATGATACTTCTAAAAACTGTTATATAACCAATATTTTTATTTCATAAATCTTCTTTTTCTTCCGACCATAAAAATTAATGATTTAACATTTCATATAAAACTTATTTGTATTTTCAACACTATATATCTAAAAAATAAAAGATAAAATGATCTTACTTCCACATTTGGTAATGTAATTGAAACATCTTGTGTTGGACCTACACTTAACTCAGCTTGTTCAGATTTTGCAACAGATGCTGGTTTGAAATCATCTAAAAATTGTCAAAAGAAAAATTTTAAAATCAAAATCAAAAGAAATAATTAATTTTCTAATACATTTAATTGTATGATAAGCATATTTCGATGAATTTCCATCATTAATTGAATTCCATGTATCACCAAATTCTAAATCATATGCTTTTCCATCCTCCAAATATTCAAGTAAAGGATTTGTATTTGTCATTGAAGCCATTTATTTTAATAATTGAATTAAACAATGAAAGACAAGCAATAGAAAAGTTTCTAACGAATTGAATTTATAAAAATGATTGGTTAATTCTTTAAGCTACTCAAATATTCACATCTATCCTCTAAAATTGAATTCGATTGGTTGCTAACGAGCAATCCGTTGTTTCCTTTTCAAAACATACTGTTAGTTAGTTAGTTAGTTAGCTTTCTTTTTATCACATTAAATACAAAAGAAAAAGAACAACAATGTCGATTATGAACGATACTAATGCTTCATTAATGAGTTCAATATCAACAAATAATTTTTTACGTGATTGTATTGACTTAGCTATTGATGGATTTTTATTTCGTGGTATAACGCCATCCGATCATTATTATCGTTTTTCACAATCATTTCCAAAAGCTTTTACACTTCTAACATCATATCCAAATCCAAATGGATCATCAATAATAATGACACCAAAACAATCTCATCATACATCATCATCATCATCATCGAAACATTCAAATACTCAACATCAACGTACAAATAATGTTCCTCCACTTGATTTATCTTCTATAAGCTCAAATATTATACTTGAGCAACAACCAGTTTCAACAATTATGCCAACAACTAATGTAGGAATTATGATTAAACCAAAAAAACCTATTTATAGTCCAAAAGATGTAAGATTTTATTATAAATTTTTATTAGGTTGATTTTATAGACTTATGACTATCAGCTATGATTGAAGTTTTTTCATTTTATCCTTTTAAATCTTTACATTTTAAGTTTGAAATCTCAATAAGGAGAAATACAACGAAAGCATTACATGATTACATATTAGAAATAATGTATTTCTATAAAATGTGGTGAAAATTCAACAAATTTTATCGATAAGAAAAGAAGCAGTTTAACAATTAATAAAAATTTCTTCGTGAGTAAATGAGAACTAATAAGAAGTCTTCTTGAATAAATTATAATGAATATGTATGAAATCGATCTACTATTGCTTCGAATTCAATTAAATTCAGAGCGAAAATAAAATCATCATGATGAATCATCATATTATCGATACCGGTTAAGATTTGATATAGAGATATGTAGAACAAGCTTCTTTTCATATCCTATTAACTTTTGGTCCAAATCGATGATTCGTACTTAACGATTATCATTATTGTTACAAGTCTAGTCAATATTTATTTCTATTATAGTCCTTCGATGTATTAAAAAGATTGATTTTAAGATGGTTTAAGTGAACACAAAAAATTATTCTATATTGATTAGATGTATGGTGACATTTTCCTACTTCATGTATTTTTTGAAATCTCAAAAAAAAAAAAGATTTTTATTTAAAATAGAATGAATGATTTAAAATTCTTTTGATAAAATTTGACTTTTAATTATGTTCTAGTCAATATCATCATCATCTACAAGTGGTGGTCGAGCAGGTAGTTCACGTCGTCCAGGCTCATCAGGAACAAAAACTCCACTTGTAACATCAAATACTCCTAATACTCCATTATCATCGAATGATCAATCTCCGTCAATACAAACTGTAAATCCAAAACGACCCGTAACAGCGCCAAGTCCTTCATCAGATATTTGGAATTCTCCTCAACAACAATTAAGTCCACTTGAAATCGAAGCACGTGATATTCAAGAACGTATGGGAAAATATCGTTTACGGCATGGTCGTCCACATGATCTTTCACAAATGACGTCAAAACAAATATATGATGAAAAATGTGATATGCAACAAGAGTTATTAAGATTTGAAAACAAATATTCAAAACCAACAACCAGTGAACAAAAACGTATTATGAAACCTTTATATGATTATTATAGACAATTAAAACGTCTTGTTGAAAAACAACAACAACAAACTTAAAAAGAGAAACTAATGTTTCTGTCGTCTATTTGTCTTTGTACATTCTGCGTGTGTGTGGTGGGTGGATGTGTAACCTTTTTTTCTTTCTTTCTGTGTAAGATGAAAAAAAAAACACGAGGCAAGATAATTGCTTCAGTATTACGAAACAATGACATATTGGGAAGAAAAAGAAAGTTAATTTTCAAAAATAAATTTATTTCGAAAGATTTATTCTTAAATATTAATTGACGAAATATTCTTGTTTTTAGATTTTTCCTATTATGGCTACAGCTATGACATCAACTATTGATTTATCATCTCTTTCATTGTACAAATTGAAAAAAAATTCAATTTCTTCTCTCTCGAATCAAATTGAACGACGTCTTGAAGTATTAAATAGACAAAAAGAAAAAAGAGAACAAAAAATATCTCAACTTCGTTTTTCAGCTAACGACAATGAAACAATCGAAAATAATAAGCCTCAATGGCCTCCTCGTCAACATCGCAAAAACACGTCATTAACTTGTCCTATCGGTATGATGCTTGCTGAATGGTTATTTACAGCTCCCGAAGATATTTCATCATGGTTTGCGATACCATGTCCACGTGGTCAACGTTGTCTTGTTGTTGTTCAATCGCATCGAGCACAAGTTTATGGAAAAAATGGTAATCTCATGTGGACAATGTTTACAAAATTACCTAAACAAACAATTCTTTATTGTATATATGATAATCGTTCATCAATTTATCACATAATTGATATAATAATGTGGAACGGACAAGATTATTCTACACAAATTGAATGTCAATGTCGATTTTTTATGTTAACATCATTAAATGGTGATTCAAGATTAAATGAACATTTTCAAATACTTTATCGTACGAATCTTGATGATAAACAAGATTTAATTGAAGCCGAAGATGGTTATTTATTTTATCATCCATTAGGTTTCTATGAACCTGGTTATTCTCCACTTGCTTGTTGGCTTAAACCATTTATGATTGAAGAAATGCTTGAAATAAAATTATCATATCCAATTAATAAACCTGATGGATATACAACAGCACAAGCTTATATGTTCGAAGAACAATCAAATAGAAAAGAACAACAATTTGTTGAAAAATCACACAAAAAAAAGACCAAAAAAAAGGAAGAAGAAAAAGTTGAAGAAGAATTAATGTCTGTAGATTAATAGATTTATTTTTTTGTTTTTTGTTATGTTGTTTTTTTTTTTTTATGAAAGAAAATAATTATTTTGTATCAATTGTTTCTGTATATGCAACTCCATTAGGTGTTAAACGATATTTATACTGTTTTTGATTTGTTGTTGATAAACCATTTGGTACAGATAATGATGTTTGAAGTGTTCCACTTTTTCTATTTGATGTTAATGAAACATTTTTTGATATTGGAGAATTTGTTATCCAAGATTCTTGTTCTAATTCACAACGAATATGACGATGTATATAACTTTCATCAGATATATCTTCATTTTCTTGTTGATCAGAACTTTTTTCAATATTTAATACATTATCAAAATCATTATTTGTTAATATTCGCCAACTAGGTGTTAATATTTCATGAGGAGATGAACTACTAACCAATCCTGTTGTGCCTGCTGTTGATGATATTGATAATGTTGATTGTGGAGAAGCTAATATAATAGAAAAAACAACAACAACATTAATGGTTGTCATTTCATAGTTATTGACATAGATAGAGTTCAAAAGAAGAATTATGTTCATCGTTATATTATATATAACGACAAGAATTAAATTATGAATATTTTGAGACTCCCACAATAAAAGTCAATTTTCGTCTGAAATATCAAAATTGAAATAAATGTATGAAAAGATAGACCGAAGTCTGATCTTTCAGAAACGACATGATTTTGTTGTTCGAAATCTCTTCTTTTACAATGACTTTCGTTACCTTCTTTCTTTTGTTATTTTATTAAAAAGACACTGTAGTCTGACATGCTCTTTCAAAAAAAAAAAAATATATTAAATATTATGGAATAAGAGTCTGCAGAGAATTTTGAATTACCAAATGAGCTATTTTTATCCTTGTCTGTTGAATATTTCGTAAAAAACATTATGGTATAGAACTGAAAATTTCATGCAATTTCAATGCACTTAATCCAAGATCGATTTTTGAGGAGAGTCTTAAATTTTATACTCCAGTTTCAATCTATAAATATTCAGGAAAAATGAAAAAATAGGAGAATTTCATGCCATTAATAAGAGTATTATTTTTTGACTATTGTCTTGGAAATTTTATCAGTTTAAAGTTTCATTAACATCTAAATTTAATTACAAATTTATTATTTTCGTTTCTTAAAAATATCTATTCAATTAGTATCAAGAGAACAAATGTATTAAAGCGAAGAAAAACTCTCATAATTGAAAATCCACTAGACAAACTCAAATAAAAACAGATATCACAATCACATAAAATCTTAGAGACTTCCATTGCTTTCAAAAATCCACACAATAACGTGTAATCTTTTCTAGAACGTTTCATTTATGATCATACTGAAAAAACCTATTGACGTTTATAAAATTTCTAATTTTTCTACCCTTGAATATTATTTTACATTTTGTTTTTCTCTTTGGAAACTTACTTCTACTAGAAGTTAGTGACTTTTTGATTTCTAAATGAAATATGTAAAAGAAAAAAATTTCTCTCAATCACAACACTTTATCTTAAAAATACAACATGAACAAAATTTTCTTCTATGAAGAGATATGATTCACATAATCATTGAGAGAACGTCAGCTAATTTCTATCTTTAAAAGTAATAATTATCGTATCCAAAATTAATCATACATTCAACAGATTATTTCGTTTTCGGAATCTTTTACTTGTTACCTCACTGTAACTAATAAAAACACTACAAAATACTTTCAGCTTTTCACAATCGTAAGGTATAGAATTAATTGAGAAATTTCTGTACAAGTTTGTTTAAGAACTTCAATCAATTAGATATTCATTTTCTATACTAACGACATACAAAGAAACAAAAGTCAAAAGTATAGTTCGATCTTCAACATGTTTCAACTAAATGAGAAATTTTTGCATGTAGAATAAAAAAATTATTTTCACTAATCTGAATTTTTTTATGAATTGATTAACATATATAATAAAATATTGGTTACATTTTATAAATAGAATTTGAACATATTCCACTTGAGAAGTATGTTTTACGATAAGAAACTGATACAAAGAATTATTTTTCTGCAATTTTAAGAGTTTTTCTCTTACTTAAAGAAAAATAAAATGATAGTTATACTACAAAGTATTTTAGATTTTTTAAAAATTCTACATTCAACTCTTTTCAAAGGCAAAACATCAGATTTCCAGACTCTATAATTTTCTTCTTGTTTTAATCATAGACTATCATTAAAGCTACATCCTTTTCAGTTCTTACCATGGATTTTCCACTTAGAAGAACACATTTGGACTGAAATGAGCAAGTGTGAGTAGTCTTCATAGGAAAATGCTTTTGATGAAAATTTCACTTCAATACAGCCACTTCTAGCTTAATCGTAACTAATTTATGACCTTCAGGATAACCTTCGAAGCTCCTTGATTAAAAGAGATATAGAACTTAACATGACTTCAAATTAAAGACGACCTATGCAAGCAGTTTTTGTTCGAATACAAAAAACAATTCATTTTCGTTTATTTTTAAAGAGCATTTTAATTAACTGAATGTTGCAACAAACAACGAATTTTGTCTTTCTCAACATATAAATCAACTAGGAAAAAAAAATCTGATTGAACTAAATTCTATTCTTATCTGAGGAAAATGTTGATTAAATGTGCAACCGTATGAGAAGAGTTTGAGAAAAACTTTCTATATTGTGAATGAGAAAATGTCAACATATTTTTCTATTACAAAAAAATTCAATTTTGACTTTTTTCTTCGAAAAATCAGGTTTTCTAAGGAGAAAAATCTTGATTTAAAATTACCTATTCTTTTGTGTCGTTTATTTGTAAGATCATAATTAGTTGAAATGAAATTACTGTTAGATATATTTCGAGATTCTTCTATTGTTCGTTTAGTATTTTTATTTATATCTCCAACAAGCAGAGATATAGATGATTGTAGTTTTGGCTGTTGTTGTTGTTGCTGTTTTTTCTTTGTTGTTGTTGTTGTCGTTGTAGTAGTTGTTGATGGAATTTTTTTTAATGAATTCGATACATTTAAATTTGAATTATGACCAATATGATCAGCAATTTTTGATAAAGATAAAATAAGATCAGATTCTAGAGACACAAAAATTAATTTATAAAGTATTTTCTATAAAATAAGTAAAAACCTGGTGTAGAATATTGTATATAACTTCTTGAATAGTTATGTTCATTATGAACTTGATAAATATGTTTTAATTTTTTTATTAATTGATTATCAGTATCGTTTTTTCTTTGATAAATTCTACAACGAGCACATGATGAATCATTACGAATTTCTTCGTTTTGTTGTTGTTCTTCTTCTGCTTCTTGTTTTTTTAATAATTCCAATGAATTATCTAACATTTTTAGTCGATGTTCAAACCAAATATTTTCAAGTGAATTAACATCAGAACTAAAACATTAAAAATTTTATTTAAAATATACAAAAACTTCTTTTTTTTTCTTCTATACATTGTTTCATTAATTTTTTTATCTTGATTAATATTTAATTGCTTCATGGTCATTTGTCTTTGTTGAATCCAATGAAGTCGCTTTTTTAAATCATTTATTTGTTTAATTGTTGTAGCTGGATTATAATAACGACTATGTCGAATATTTGATGTTGTCGTTAATTGACCATTATTAACAACTGTATTTAATTCATATGTTAACAATTGTTTTATTGAATTATTAAGAATATTTATTGATTGATTAAATTTATTTTCAGTTGATTTTGATGAATAATATGTTGAAGAATTTATTTGAATTGGTGATGAACTGTTTATTAAACAGATACGATCGAGTAAATCTTCTATGAGACATTTTATTATATCGTTATCAATCATTAAAGAATTTATACACATTTATGACTAGATTTAGACAGACAAGGTTTTTATTCAAATAATCATATATACAAAGACATTTATTAATGAATCATTAACGATGAAATGTTCATTCGTTTGATTATAATAACCAATTAAAATTATCCATAAAGACTTTTAGAAGATAATTAGAGTTTTTTTTTTAATCAATAAAAAAATAAATAGATTTCATGATTCCAATTTAAGAATTTTTCTTATTGCTTCGTCACTGAAAAAAGATGCCGCTAGGATACATCAAATTACTACTACTGTACTATGTAAGTTCGAAATACGCTACAGTCTGATTTATTGTGAATAGTCTTTTAGTTATGTTTTTTGGCACTTCATCGAGCTTGAAATTCTGCCCCTATTGCATTTTGGTCTAAGTAATTCGATAAGAAGAAACAATATGACAATAAAATAGTCCAAAACCCTCTGTGGTTTAATGTAAGGTACGGGTAATTCAAAATTACAGCAGTTTTTGTTTTAGCTTAAACATACATTTCTAGATTAAGTTTTTCACGCTGATCACGAATATGTCATTAGTGTTCGTTTTTGATAAAGTTTTTATGAAGAAAACCTCAAAATACTGGCAGGATGCCACAATCTTCAAAAACAATTTTCTTATGAAGAAACAACCCTCAATTCTTTATCATTTCACTTTTTGTCCTCACCAATATG